AGTGAATAACCGTAAATTGACATTCCCAGAATTCCCTGCGTTACATTTCAAATTTGATGTTTTTTTGTTGAAATAACTATGTTTCTTCTTAGTTTTTTCTTATCAGTTTTGTATATTAGGGTTGTGTGTTACACCTAATGTTGTTAAATGAATGTTTATTGCATTATTTCAGTTTCATGTGTGTTATCATGATGGTGTTTAGTGTTTGTGGGAATGACTCTGTGCACCTTCTATATATGTTATTATTTATAAGCTGCTTGTGATGGGCTTTGGTTCATCATGTGATTTCTCATCACCCCCTGCATTTGGTGGTTATCAGTGTATTACAAAGGTACAAAACTGATTTCAGTACTTCAGTAGGTTGGTATATCAACATTATATCAGTTAATGAAATTACGGTATTAAACTGTAAATTTAAGTTAAAACCTAAAACGTTGCTACCGTATTTTTACGGTAAAATTCCGGCAACCACAGCTGCCGTTTTTTTACCGTAAATTTTTCAGAAGTTTTTTTACAGTGTATTTAGAATATTCATACCAAAATGATTTATGTACACTGAAAATGTTTTCAATTTATGAATTTATAAATATATTTTAAATATTTTTGTGTATTGTGTACACACACACAGGTTTGTTTTTATGGTTTAAGGGGACTCTGCATAGGCGTAATGGTTTTTATACTGTACAGACCGTATATTCTATTGCCCTACACCAACCCTACCCCTAAACCTACCCCTCACAGGAGACTTTCTGCATTTTTAGATTTTCAAAAAAAACTCATTCTGTATTATTTATAAGCCTTTTGAATTACGGGGACACTGAAAATGTCCTCAAAAATCACCTTCTCGTTGTAATACCTATGTCATACCCATATTATTATACAAATTTGTGTCCTCATAAACATTGTATGCACACACACACACACGATGTATATGCATACACACACGTTTTAATTTACATTTGATGTATATTTGGTCCAGTGACGCAATACTCAAAACGAACTCAGCATTTTATTACAAAGGAATCTCTGCGACAGGAATTCTTCGTGTTTGCTGTATGTTGCTCTTCAGACACGCCTTTCAGGACTCAGAGGCACGAACACAGCCCGAGGCCATTGATGCTCTGTGCTTCGCAGAAAGTATGAAATCTAAGAGCATTAAGTGTCAGGTAAACATCGCTTGAACTTGAACTGTAATTAAAAAAGCAGTTGGAGTTTGAATTAAATTGTTTTGCACGAATTTAATGTAATTACACTTACACAGTTCTGACATTAGAACTGGTAACATAATTGAATACGGCTGTAGTTCATGAAAACAATGAAGTATTCTCGAAGTATCTTTACTTGATGCTTTACACTGCACAGAGTGTTTCCCATCAGCACTCCGCCTCTTCAGGATGTTCTCCATATAAGGCAAATGACGTCGTGGGATACCCTGCCAACGTCATGTATTCCATTTCGTTTTCTTTTAGAATATTCATCTACGAAGGTTTTTGCAAACATGTTGTCATGTATTAAGCTTATACGTTTGTACGAGTAATGTATTGATTACGTATCCAGCAAAACGCGTTTTTATGTTTCTATGCAAACACTGGCAGCGCGTCGCCCCGCCCTCCCTTTGACGTCAGTCACAGACTG